ACCCATACATTCACTCCGAGAAACAATGAAAACGTTTTAAACAACCAAAGCATTTATTTTCAAAAGCTTCGTAGCTCACTGTCAGAGCTGAAGCATTTTTTCACTATTGCTGCTGCAGCAGGGGATGGATTCCTTTAAAGGCATTTTACACATTTAGTAAAACTCCAGTTTGTGTATTACATGCTTTGAGAAACTTACAACAGATTAAAAAGGGAGGAAAGATTGTATTTGAGCTCTTTAACATATTTTCCCTTGACTGTTTCCCAAAGCAATGTTTTTAGAAAAAAATTAAATCAGACAGATACAAGCCAAGATTCTAGACACCGAATGCATCATAAGAAAACAGAGAAAAAAATCCCTGAGTCACAGTGGCCACTGTTTTCCTTCTACTTCTATATTGGACAGACACAGCTGGGGATTTTGGGTAACAGGAAACTTTAGATATGGCTAAAGAAAAACATCCCTTGCAGGCTGTGGAGAACAAGTAAAGCATCCTCATCATTAATCTTATCTGCCCTTTATTCTGTCTCTGCTGGGATTTCCTCTCTACATATTTCCAGAGGTTTACTATCGCCCTTGCTTATTAACCCCCTCCTCCAGTTTGTTGTCTGGACCCACTTGGCTGGAGAACAGATCAGTTAGCTAAAGGTCCCGGCCGGTCAGACCCTCGGCCCTAAACACAGACTGACTGGCTGGCCTCATATCTCCACTCAGGACTCTGTGTTCCCTTTCCTCCTCTACAGGCTGCTGACCTGCCAGATCTTGGCCAGACGCAGAAGAATGCAGCTACGGAGAAAACGTAACCCAGAGTACACAACTGAATTTGCATGCAGGTAAAGAAGTCCAAGGCTTATGAAATGGACTTTGTTATGTTCTATAAATATCTCCTGGTCAAGTTTGGTTTTAAGGACGGAAGTAACTAAATCAGTGCTTGGTTATGAAGGACAATGTCAATCATAAAGAGGGTGTAAACACTGTATTATAAGGACAGGTTAGTTTGGATGCATTGGTGTTATTATAGAAATTTGTGAGTGTGGGGATATAAACAGCTCTGGTGAAAGTCACTAATGATATTCTCATTGCCTCAGATATTGGACTTGTATCTGTACTTGTCCTGTTAAATCTCAGTGCTGCATTTGATACAGTTGACCATAATATTCTTTTAGAAATACTTGAATATTTTGTAGGAATTAAAGGAACAGCACTAGACTGGTTTAAATCTTATCTATCTGATTGAATTCAGTTTGTTCCTGGTAATGACAAATCTTCCACATGCTCAAGGGTTATCGGATCAGTGCTAGGACCAGTTCTCTTTACTATATATATGCTCCCAATCGGTACATTATTAGACAGCATGGGATTAATTTCCACTGTTATGCTGATGATACTCAGCTTTATCTGTCTATAAATCCAAATGAAGCTAACCCATTACATAGATTACAGACATGTCCTAAAGACATTGAAACCTGGATGACTCTTACCTTTCTGCTTCTGAATGCAGACAAAACAGAAGTTAGAGTATTTGGACCAGAGTCCTTGAAAAAGAATCTGATTAGCCAGTCACTTCATTTGGATGGGATTAAACTGATTTCAGATAATAAAGTAAAAAATCTTGGTGTTGTTTTTGATCAGGACCTGTCATTTAAATCCCATATCAAAGAGGTTTCTAGAATTTCCTTCTTTCATCTGCGAAATATTGCAAAAATAGGCAGACACTCTGTCTACTTTTAAGGGTAGGCTTAAAACTTTTCTTTTTGATAAAGCTTATAGTCAGAGTGGCTCAGGTTACCCTTAGCGTTATGCTGCTATAGGCTGAAACTTCTGGAGGACATAGGGACCCCTATTTCATAATTTTGCTTCATTCTATCTCTATTCTTCCACTCTGCAGAATCTGTTAGTTCAACCTCTGACGTTCTGCTCTCTCTCCTTTTTCCCATAGTAGCTTCGCCTCGCCTGTTCCTGCTGCGACACCATCCTGGAGAGAAATATCAGCTCTGCTGCTTCCATCAACACCTCAGTTTATAGATGTTGGAGATCGGCCAGTTTTTCATGTGTAGTCCTGTTTCTCTGACTTTGACTGGCTGGATATGCTCTCTTCATCCTCTGACATGGGAGCTGGCTCAGAGCTCGTCTGCCTGGCTGTGTGTTTCCTGGACGGGGTCGCTTTTACAGCTGCTTTTTGTATCTCTGCTTCTGGAACCCCAGTCGGCCTCGGCAGATGGCCGCTCATACTGAGCCTGGATCTGCTGGAGGTTTCTTCATGTTAAAAGGGAGTTTTTCCTCTCCACTGTTGCTACAAGTATGCTGAGTGTGAGGGCTTGCATTTGAGTCAATGAGTCGATGCAATCAACTGGTTTTCCTTAAATAGAAAACTTTGAATCAATTTGAGTGTATGATCTGGTGAACTGTAAAGTGCTTTGAGGTGACATGTGTTGTGTATTGGCACTATATAAATAAAATGAATTGAATATAGTGGTCAGAAGCCATCAGGGCTGTGAGGAACCAGTAACCTGAGGGACAGCTGATAATTACTGCTGCCTCACCCCCTCCATCCGTTGCCCCCACCAGGAGACAGAGAGTCTGTAGGCTATCAGTGCTCAATAAAGCAGATTTCAGCTGGACAGGCTAAACAACACATTCCTCAAGCCCTGCCTATGAGCACCAAACACCCTGAGACAACACACACAACGACAGACGAGGTCAGAGACATCAGAGTGACAAGACAACGAGGGTCATCTTTGTGGTATTTACACCGTCTTTAACACATTGTCTCAGTTGGAGCTTAATTTACACATCAAGGTTTTTTGTCTAAATGCTTCTAATTCCTTCAAAGGAAGCGGCCCTTTGTACTCAAGTGTCAACACTGATCTTTGTTGCTTAAAATAACAAGGATCTGTTTGTTTAAGGTCTAAGAGAAATAGTTTTCTTGACAGCTACCAGCAGTGTTTGACTAATCGTTTCCAGAGAAACAAATCAAACCCGTCATGGTTGAAATGATCTCTGTCAACAGTACACATGGGGCAGTTTCTGATATTAAGAGATACCAAAAACTTTGCCAATACAGCTCTAATCCTGCCTGTAACATTTCTAAAAGGACACAAAAAAAATGACTGCTAAATCTTGTAAACTTCATGTTAACCTTGATTCTCTGTATAAAATCAAAATACCATCAAACAAATATTTTGAAAAAATAAAGCATAGCATAGTTCAGTCATAAAAACATTGATTTTTATCTGTGAAAGATAATGGTTATGCCTGTCTGCAGGGAAAGGATGGACTAAAGCTTTATGACAAGTTCGATTTTTAGATTTTGAAACTGTTTATATTCCCATGCACACATTAAAAACTCACTGTTTTGTTGATTATTAGCAGAGTTTTTGAAATGTTGCTGCTGCAATTTCACAAAGTAAACAATAAAAAATAGTCATAGCTTTATAACTAAAATACTTTTTTTTCCTGATGCAGAGGAAAGGGTTACCATTCAGCCTCCAGAGTGTCGTTTTGGTGTCCCAAGAGGAAACCAGGGACCTGGGTCACATCGATACGCCATTGTTTTTTCTGGGGGGGTTCAACAATTTTTGCAACATAAAAATTCCATCTGGCATTAATTTTTTCACTGTTGATCCCACCTCAGTGAAGAAAAAAACAACAACATACAAACCACAGTGACTCCTCCTCATCGGAAGTAATTACTACTGAATAGGCCAGCTTCACTTGTGATTGACCAACCAAGATGAATAACATCCTTTGACTCAATTTGTTTTCTTTGGAGGATGCCGGCAGGGCTCCACATCCTCTCTCCTCAGGCCGCTCCTTGAAGGCTCGACTGATTGAGTCACCAATCCTCCTTTTTCTGAGCAATTATCGACTCATTGACAATTCCATACAACATTCATCTAACATATGGATTTTTTTCGTTCTTTTTAGATTGGGGGCAAAACAGCAGGATGAGCTCATAGGGTGAAGGAAAGCAGAAGAGGAGAGACAGCTGTGAGTTTGAGTGATGGTACCATCAGACGGCACGGGCTCCTCCCAGAGGAGACATTGCCTAGATATTTTCTTTTGCTTCATGTCACCCAGTGGAGCTGGAAAGCTTTCAGGTGGTTGGAAAGTCAATGTGAAACTCAACCAAGGCCAATGAAGCCATGCTCTTAGTTATAGCAGCACAAATGACATACATGTATGTTTCAGCTGGTGCAGAGTGCGCTGCATGAGCACCAGTCCCGCTGAAGGACATAGCAGGGTTATACACATGTACAATTCTTTGGATTTATGGTTGATTGCAGCATTAATGCTTGGAGGTGCTGACTGGGAGGTGAGACTTGGAACGCACATAAACTGATGGCAATACGCCATCCCTCTTCGGCATCGGCAAGTGAGACAAATGCCTCGCAGCCTGCCGCCAAGTATAGAACATGAAACACATGATGAAACATGCAATTAAGAGCCTCTGTGCTGGTGGGGAGTGCTGTGAGGAGACCCCTGGTAACATATTCCCTCACTGATTAATGGAAGAGCTTTGGGACGGGAGGGGTTAGCGAACCCGCCAGGAGGATAGGGTAACGAGGCGCTGTGGCAGATTTATGTCCCCTCCCGCCCCTCTCCCTACAATCTTATGTGTCCATGACAAAGTGCCTCCCAGCTCCCCCATCCCATATCCTTGAAATGTCATTACATGTTCACATGTAGCAGGCCGGCAGAGATGGAAGGGAGATCTGCATTAATACTGATGAGAAGTGGGCTCTGGTCTTTTTGTCTCAGTAGCAGTTTCATCTTTTCCTTGAACCTTTTTACATCAACATCTAATACTCCCCCCCACCCCCCCACTCCCCATTCGTCTGTGCAGGCAGACTCATTAGTTTGTCTTCTATTACCCTGCAGCCATGCAGAACCTCAGGGTCTGCAGCCTGTTTACATTACACATGTACTGTTTCTCTTATCTTTAGACAGCCTTCATTAACAATCAGCTCTGTGTTCTGCTGTCCTGTCTGCTGTTTTACCTTCAGTCTGTCTGTAGGCAGGGCCTGGGCTCCCTTCATGATGACCTCTTGAACCCTCTCCACTGACAGGTCACTTCCAGCCTGCTCCAGACGTTGACTGAAGAATCCTATCACCTGAAGTTCACACAACAGGAGACAGACTTTCAGAAACATAGCTATAGTACAGTCAGACGAGGAGGATCATCAAAACTAATGCTGCTTTTTAGTAGATTTCTGCAGATCTATGCATCAAATTCTTTACAAAGTACAGAAAAAAAATCTTACAAAAAACAATCTGGATTATTCAATTTGAATAAAACATAAAATAATTATTTCTTTCAGCTGAAGAGCCCCTCCCAGTCCTGATCTTCATATAAAGCGCTAATAGAACTACAGCTGGGAAGCTACTAACAACAAATTAACCTTCTAACATTAACTAGTTATGCAACCTGGGGCTTCTGGACAAAAAGCAGGAGGGCAAAACCTTTGATCCGTATCTCTGTTTGATTCTTCGTGTCAAAATCAAATAACAGATGAATGATCATGAATTATTTTAGGGTCAGTATGAAAAATAGCGTGTTTCTGGTTTTTAATAAACGTAAATGATCTGGATGCTTACTTTTTTATGATTGGCTACAGGGTGTCCATTAAAGAGTGTTAAAACTGATTGTTTTAAATTACTGTGCTGGTTTCCTCTCAAATGATACTTTGGATTGCTAAACATAACGTTAAGCTGCAGCCAGAGCCGGTTACCTTGGTAATCTTTAACAACAACAGAAATTAAATTGTCCACTCAGTCAATTTTTGTGGAAAATGTATACATTCAATGTTTAAAAAACAAACAAACAAGCTATTAACTTATTAATAATTAATTTAACAGTACATTTATAATGTGACAATATGAGCAAGAGATGGTCCTTTTTCTAATTCCCCCGTTTCAGGGGTTCATTACCAGAAAATATTCTTCTGACTTTCTGATTATGGTTTTGGCATAATCTCATTGTTTATGTGTTTTACCTTAATAATGTGATATTGTAAAAGTATTTTTATCTTTTTTTTTTTTTCAAAGTGATTATATTATGGGAAGCTCCTACTTGATAATGTCCACTTAAGAGTTTATAATTTGTATTTAAACAAATAGAAATAACTGAAGACAACTACTGCATTGTTCCCCTGTTAAAACAAATTTGAATGTTTTTTGGAAAAAAACACATTTCAAACACAATATTCTAAGAGTAAGGTATGAGAAATCCTACAGTAACCTTTATAGTTAAAAGATCTAAGATTCAAGGTAATAAATATCTTCATAGAAGCACTGTTCAGGAGTTATTGCTCTAATCTTTCTTGTTGATATTTTTCATACCTGCTCTACAAAATGCACAAACACAATTAAATTAAATGTTGTTTATTGTGTTTTCCTGATTGAGAAGCCTTGAGGACTCATTTATCACACTGCCTGGACACCGAGCCATAAAATGTCTCTACGGTGTGTCATGATGTAGTGAAGAAATCTGACCCTATTCAGGATACCTCACTTGATGAAGTGGCCAGTCTTGTATGTATTGCACTACCCTCACAATGCATGGGTTGTACTGCTTTGTTGTAGGTCTGTTATACTGATACATATGACCTTACAGTGACCCACAACGAAAAAACAGTTTAAGTAAAAATGAAAGAACTGTTCACACATTCAATTTAGTAACAAAATAAAACAACTAATAACAAATGCAACATTGGAGTTACAGTTAAGGCACGTTTGGGCTAGGAAAAAAAAAAAAAGAAGCAAACCAAGTGTGAGTATTAATGTCAGCCTTTGTCTCGTAAATAAATGGAATAAAATCTTATGACTGATTCCAACTCCTTGTAAACTCCTTATACTTTCTAATTGCATTTCTACTCTGTGTGTGGAGTTACTTAAAATAAAATAGTTCATGCTTACCTTTGTTGAACATACATATATAGACATTTGGACAAAATAGCCCTCATTTAATGCAATAAAAACCCACAATGGACACAGTAATAACTATAATCTAACAAAAGTAATAAGTAAACTTACTTTTAACAATCTTTCAACAAAATAATAGAAAAAATAAACTCATCAAACATGACTGAACAAAAAGTAATGGCACCCCTTTACTTTACCTTTATGCAATTCAATGGTTGCTGTAACAGCAGGTATTTTGGCCCACTCCTCAAGAGCAAACTGCTGCAGTTGCAGCTTTGAAGGCTGCCTTTTCCAGACAGCAATCTCAGCTCCTACCAAAGATGCTCAATATGATGTAAGTCAGGGCTAATAGGAGGCCAATCCAGAGTAGTCCAATGTTTTCCTCTTAGCAATTCTTGGGTGTTTTTAGCTGTGTGATATGGATCATTATCCTGTTGAAAACCCATGACCTGAGACTGAGAGCAGACTTTCTGACACCGGGCAGCGCATTTCTCTCTAGAATCCCTCAATAGTCTTGAGATTTCATTGTTTCCTGCAGATACTCGAGACACTCTTAGCAGATAAAGCAAACAGCTCTAGCACATAACAGAGCCTCCTCCATATTCCTCAGTAGGGACAGTGTTCTCTTCTTTATATGCTTCTTTTTCTGTCTGTCAACATAGAGGTGACGGACCTTGGCAAAAAGTTTAATATTTTTTTTCATCCTTCCATGGGATATTCTACTAGAAGCTTTGTGGCTTGTCAACATTTAGCTTGGTAAATTCCTGTCTTCCTTTGTTTTCTCCCATTAAGTCCACTTTGGCTCAAACGACAGATGGTGTGATCTGACACTGATGTTCATTGAGCTTTAAGTTCACCTTTAATCTCTTTAAAAGTTTCTAGGCCCTTTTGTTACCAGCGATATTATTTGTCTCTTTGATGTATCATCAGTTTCTCTTTTGCAGCCTCGCCCAGGTAGGTTGGCTACAATCCCATGGATCTTAAATTTCTGAACAATACGTTCAGCTGCAGTCACATGAACATCAAGCTGCTTGGAGATGGTCTTATAGCCTTTACCTTTGCCATACTTGTCTATAATTTTCTTTCTAATTTCTTTCCTCTGGTCTATCTGGTCGATGTTGAGTGTGGTAGACACCATGTCACCAAAGTATAGTGACGACCTGTAGCCCCATATATTGGCCCACTGACTAAATACAAGATTGCAGACACCAGTAATACTGATTAGTAGACACCTTTTTTTAACATGTCCCTTTGGTCACATTATTTTCAGTCTTCTCTCTGGGTGCCATCATTTTTGTCCAGGCGTGTTTCATGAGTTAAATTCTTAAACTTATTCTGTTGAAGCATGGTTGAAAAGCAATGCCTGACTTTCATTTATTCATTTTATAGATTTTGTATTTTTCACTTGTCTCAGATGACTTTGTAATCAAGTTATGTCTGTGACCATTGTGGGTTTTTCTCTCATTAAATGAGGGGTACCAACAAGTTTGTCGATTTGTTCACTATGATTAATGGATTACTATAAATAATTTAAAAGCAAACTCTTTAATTCACCAACACTGATCACAGGTGGTTGGATTTAACTGTTGCACTGTTGCATTTGCAAATAACAATAAACAGCTCCTTCTAAATAATTCAAAATTTGCAGTAAAGAGGAAAAGAAACTATGAGATGAATTAAACAATTTGCTGCCAGTATTCAGCAAATTAAGAACTATTTGGCATCATCTCTTAAATAAAAGCTCTAAAATCCATCCAAAATGTCCATTCTCCATAGCAGGGACAGGATATCTACCTCATTTTGTCTGATTTGGCTTTTAATTTGGATTTAATGTAAGACACCACGTTTTTATGGATGTGTACGTTCAGAACAAAGAAAGGTTGCTTCACTTGATAACTAAAACTAAAAGGTCTCTGGATGAATTGAGAAAATTTAAATCAAATCCTAATTCAAATATTGATTAAACAAACTGTTTTATTTAGATCAATTGTATGCAAAATTAAGAGAACTGACAGACATAAAAGACTGCAAACATTTTATGAAAGTATTCTACATTAGATATTGAATTTACATGTGGAATATTTGTTGAACTCTAATGAACAGAGATAATCCCTTTCATTTAATTTTTTTTATTGTATAATTACTAGAGTAACAATTCTACAGTTAAATTAAAACAGATACTTGAGCACTCATGAGTATGTTTACAGCGTCCCCATCAGTATTATCTTCTTTTTCCTTTTTTATTATAACATCATATTAAGTATTGGGCGGGGCTACAGATAAGCCACAATGTTATGTTCCTGGCACTAAATTATAAATAAAGGTAGAAGAAAATGGTCACGATTAGGTTAAATGGTAATATCCAAACCTGCAGGAATGCTCGTTAATAATTGGAATCTCGTTCAAATTCAACTCATGAATTCACCCCTTTAAAAAAAAATAAAAAAATCTAACTTAGAAAAAGCCCTTCAGCAAAGCTTAAATTATTTGAAGGCCTTTGGGTTTATACTCAAGCAGGAAATCAAGAAAGCATATTTTGTGTTTTCTACTGCTGTGCTGGATATCCCCTTGGGAAACGGATGAAAATGAAAAGGAAAAATCCTCTGTTTTAGTCATTCTTTTTAACGCCTTTTCTTTGTCACTAACTGCAAAAAAGCAAACATCCACAGGCAACCTTTTCTATGCTCATGTTCAACAGTTGCTCTCTTAAATACAACACCACTGCAGCGCCAAAGATAAGCGTAGTGCGTGCTTCAATCTAATACTGATCTTTTCATTGAAGGCTTTGACTATGAGATTCATTTACAATAGCAAAGCAGCAGCCCCTCATGCTGGATCTTATGCTAGCACACATGAATTTACAAGCATAAGGAAAGCTTCCGAGAATAGCCTGAGGGGAAGTGATCTGAACCAAGGGTTCCTAGCAGGCGTGCCTCCCTCATACTTATGGATAACAGCAAACCCCAGGGTGATGTATGCAGCAACCATATGCAGATTGAGGAAAACTTCTCTTCCTTGCCTAGATGGCTACCATAGATAAAATAAAAACATTGCTCTGATTTGTATTCTGTATCCCTGATTTACCCACAATTTTTTTAGAAAAAAAAGCCTTTAAGCAGACAAGGACTAATAAATTCAGAGTTTTACAAGGATTTAAAAGCTCCATGTTACCAATGCAGTTTGCATATGTTCCACTTTAAAGGGGCTTTCTGAAGCCTAGGACACTGAAAAATCAGCAGCCTTC